GAATTGATAAGTGTTATAGTTTTCTTTTTATAGAACTTGACCCGATACTTTTCATTTACTCACTTTCAGGGGAGGTAAACAAGTATATATTTTTAGAAGTTATCTCCCTTGAAAGACATATTTGCTGTATAAAAATTAGATTAACTATAATTTATTTTTAAGATATTTAGTGCTGACAGTAAAGTTAGGAAAATGTTTCTTTTAGCATTTTTTGAAGACCTATTATTCAAAATTAATATACATCTGTCGACTATAAGGATATTATTTATCCTGTTAGGTAAGATAAAATTAAATATTGCGTTAGAACAAAAATTATATTAACTAGCTTTAACTTTTTATAATACCTTCGCTTATCGTTAAAAATGAACTATTTTTTTTTAGAATTGTAATTACATGGAGAACAGTATCATCAACTAATTCTTTTCTTCACCAAGCAAGGCGATAATATCACTAAGACGCAAGAACAAGAAGAAAAGAAAGATCAATAAAAGAATGTTTCAAGACAGAAGATACTAGGGAAGCATGAAATCGGAAAGGAGTTCTACAGGCAAGAATTGTGAAAAAGAAACGGTTAGAATCGAACTTACGGTTACAGCTACAACAGTAGATTGATGATATATATTAATAGATATATAATCTAATAGCATCCTTAGATTCATTCGGTCTGGGTACCAAAGAGTAAAACTAATCAGAAAATGTGACATGGCGGTTAGAAAGTGACTGAAGTCGAGCTGCCAGGTTAGGTTCGATTATACTACAGACTATTCTTTGGATTTTATCAAGGAACACCAGATCAGTTAGGGCGGTAAAATATTTAATGCCCAAACGAATGGTAGATTTATAAATATGCGAGAGGGATTCTGTTAAGAAAAATTATCTCGCAAGACACTGGTGTCCAAATATCCTACCAGCGAAAGTCGTAACTCCTTCACTATAAACCTTCCAATTCATTTTAGCTGAAAATGTGTGACCAAGAAAGCGCAAATAGTCGCTCTCCTGGAGGTTAGCATCAGCCATGATAAGATATTATTTATACGCTTAGATATTTACATTATTCGGACTATTGTCCTCATCTTTGTCGCCATATTTATTACAACGTTTCGGCCGTTGTACGCTCCGGCCTTCTTCAGGTGGTTGGAATGTTGAACTGAACCCTTTATTTCGCTCACTGTGGTACACTGTTCTAGTTCCACGTGCCATGTTTGATGGATGTCAGTTATCAGTTATTTCCTGTTAATTTCCCTCTGAAAGTTCTCCACTGCCTTAACTGGGTAGTTGAGTGCCTCTGAGGAGTCAGTACCGCCACAACCATCAGGCGAGTGCCATACTTGGACATCATTACCAGAGTGGAGGAGGTGACCTTGAACATCCCTCAGACTCAGGCGGATGAACTGAGATGGAAAAGGAGACAGACGCAGAGGAACGCAAACATCATCATACTACCGACTGACAAAGGTAATGCGACTGTAGTGATGGACAAATCGGATCATACAAGAAAAATGGAAGACCTCATTAGCAATGGTCGCTACAGCAAAGTGAAAAAGCATCCTACTATGAAAACGGAACGCAAACTGTCACAGATACTAATCAAGAACAAGGATCACTTCGCACCTAAGATGTATAGGCAGTTGACGCAACGTTACACCAAGCTACCTCACATATACGGTCTCCCTAAGATTCACAAAGAGGGTATTCCGCTCAGGCCGATTGTTAGTTGCCAAGACTCTGTGTGCCACCCTCTGAGTCGCTTCCTTGTAGATATAATTGACCCATTGATCGGAAAGTCTCCTTCATATGTCCGAACCTCCGCCCACTTCGTGGAAATAATCAAATATGCTCCCATCCTATCCAGCCAGATGGTGAGCTTGGACGTGGTGAGTTTGTTCACCAAGGTACCTACGGAGGAGGCACTCTCAGTAGTCAGAAACAGATTGGTATCTGACTCTTCCCTAGAAGAACGGACCAGTATTCCAATAGATAATCTGATGGAAATGTTGACTTTCTGTACACAAACAACACACTTCGGAATGGGATCACACATGCATCGACAGGATGAGGGCTTAGCAATGGGCTCGCCATTATCACCAGCAATGGCGAATATATACATGGAATACTTTGAGGAAATGGCATTGGAATCTATATCTCTAAAGCCAACTATATGGTTAAGGTACGTAGATGACACCTTCATCCTCTGGCCACACCAGGAAGATGTTCAGGTTCTACTGGACCATGTGAACTCAATAAGACCTTCGATACAGTTCACAATGGGGAAAGAGAGTAACAACACACTCCCATTCCTGGATGTTCTAATATCTCGAACAGAGCATGGGTTAAAGATATATACCGTAAACTGACATTCACCAGACAGTACCTCAATTTCAACTCCCACCATCCATACAGCATAAAGAAAGGGATCTTCCGTTGCTTACAACACCGAGGAAAAGTCATAAGTGGCGACCCAGAGACGTTAGATAAAGAATTGGTCAGTATAATTAGTACCCTACAACGTAACAACTACCCTGGGTACATGGAAGCAGCCCCCAAAAACTAGGATAGGCGGGTACAAGAGGAGGAGGACAACAACACTCAGAAAACAGTCTCCCGCCTTATGTGAAGGGGTTATCAGAGAAAATACAAAGGATCTACGGTTCATATAACATCAGGACAACCTTCAAAAGCTGGATGACACTTCACAGATATCTCTCACAAGTAAGACACCCCCCCAGAGAGGAGAACATGACTAAAAACTCTGTGTACGCTATCCCGTGCAGCTCCGGAAAGGAATATAAAGGAGAGACAGGCCGCCCCCTCAAGGTAAGTCTTCAAGAACACCAGAAAGCTGTAACACGAGGGGAACTGGAAAAATCAGGCGTGGCTGACCACATATGGAGAGAGAAGGGAGATCACCGCCCTCTGCGGGATCATGTTGAGATCATAGACAAAGAACACCATTGGATAATTCGTAAACTTAAGGAATCAGAACACATGCTAGGCCACAAACATCTCCTGAGTCGACCAAGCATAGAAATAAATACAGTATGGGAACCAGTAATATGGAGTGCCAGAGAAAAGCAATGATAACAACAAAGTTGCAATATGAGCCCTGGTAAAAAAACAAAAAAACAAAAAAAAAACATGTAATGATAACAGCAAAAATTGCAATATGAGTACTGGTAAAAATGGTTGCTGAAGACATTAGGTTTATAATACCCGGTTAAGACAGTAGAGAACTTTCAGAGGGAAATTAACAGGAAATAACTGACATCCATCAAACATGGCACGTGGAACTAGAACAGTCTACCCCAGTGAGCGAAATAAAGGGTTCAGTTTGACATTCCAACCACCGGAAGAAGGCCGGAGTGTACAACGGCCGAAACGTTGTACTAAACATGGCGAGAAAGATGAGGACAATAGTCCGAATAATGTAAATAAGTAATATAATATTCAGTTTATATTAAATCCCTAATTTTTTTGTGGAGAAGTTTAATATTTACATTACCATCAAGCATTAAATCTAGGTTATTTTTGGAGTATTTAAATATTTAAATTACTATCAAACGTTAAAAACTCCGTTTTTCTAAATTGCCCAAACATCAAGCTATACCACCCCTCTCCTTCCTTCGAAACCCTACGCGCATCTCTTATTGCTTATCTCTTTACTTCCCTGCTTTTTCTTTTCTTACGTTCCCCATATCATTTCCGGGGAATTGACCGATTAAATAGACCAATGTCTTATCCTTACCCCCGTACTCCTCAATATTAAGTATTGTAATAAAAATAAAAAAATAAATTTTAAATCTCTTATTTCCCTCTCTAATTTCGACTATCTCTCTCACACTATCCCTCACCACCCTATATGTCACCTTATATAAGCTTAATACTTCCCTTCAAAGGTGCAAATTTTAAATTCATTTTTTCACCCTTGAAATTGATGTCTATAGATCCAGAGAAAAATAAAATCTCTGGTGAAATAAATTATTACAATGGAACCTTAACGTGCTCTGCTTTTTCTTTAAATTAAATTATTCGCTCATCCTCCTTAGGATTATCCATACGTATTAGCAAGACTTTTGTTACTTAACTATATATATATATATATATATATATATATATATATATAGAACATTATTTTATTTTAAAGAAGCATTATTCAAGGGAAGTAATCAAGGATATAATTTACAAAGTATTCTCCCGTGACATCTATTAATGTTTATTTCTATTAGTTTCTGGAAAACATTTTTTTTACTGTAATTACCCATGTATAATACCCCTTCATCTATAACACGGGCCCCCTAAAATTGAAAGTGTGGAAAAATGCTTCTACTCACGCATAATACGCACCCCTTTTTTGGTAATCAAATGATATAAATTGAACTTCTCTAATTTCATTACGGCCAGCGTTTCCTACTCTTACAAAAGATGATTTTTACAGAATATTATTCTAACTTAATTTTATTTTAATTCTTTTTATTTTATATTTGTAAGTATTGTTATGTACATGTGATTGAATTTGACATCTTTATGGGGTCGCAATCGCCGAATGTTAGTGTCAAATTGTCGTATTTTTGTGGTGAGTAGTCATTTCGCAACTGAAAGCGACCTATGAAACCGAAATTTTAAAAAGATATTTTTGTAGCTGTGCATAATACGCACCCCTAATTTTGCTTATTACTTTTTAAAAAAATGTGTATTATGCATGGGGAATTACAGTAACATCATAAACTCTGTATAAAGAAGATAAAATCTCTGCCGAGAGAGAATATTGGATTGCATGTACCATTCAAATACGGATAATCTTCGCTCTTGAAATTCTCTAATCACAATTATAGTTTTTTTTTCGACAAACATAGGCCTGTCGTATTCTGTCAGCACTCCCACTTATAGATATACATATATAAAAAAAAACAGGAAGAAAATGCTTAAACAGCGACTGTTGTAAAACTGATTTAAGATATAAAACGTCCTCAGAGCCCGAAAAGTGGATTTCGCGGTCAAGAGGATTAAGGTGCTACAGCAGACGACAGCCGACGTGACGTTTTGTGATGGCGACTTTGTGATGCCGAATTTGTGATGCTTTGTGATGCCGAATTTGTGATGCTTTGTGATGACGAATTTGTGATGCCGAATTTACGATGCTTTGTGATGACGAATTTGTGATGCCGAATTTGTGATGCTTTGTGATGACGAATTTGTGATGCCGAATTTGCGATGCTTTGTGATGACGAATTTGTGATGCCGAATTTGTGATGCTTTGTAATGACGAATTTGCGATGCTTTGTGATGACGAATTTGTGATGACGAATTTGCGATGCTTTGTGATGACGAATTTGTGATGCCGAATTTGTGATGCTTTGTGATGCTTTGTGATGACGAATTTGTGATGCTGAATTTGCGATGCTTTGTGATGACGAATTTGTGATGACGAATTTGCGATTCTTTGTGATGACGAATTTGTGATGCCGAATTTGCGATGCTTTGTGATGACGAATTTGCGATACTTTGTGATGACGAATTTGTGATGCCGAATTTGTGATGCATTGTGATGACGAATTTGTGATGCCGAATTTGCGATGTTTGTGATGCCGAATTTGTGATGCCGAATTTGTGATGCTTTGTGATGCTTTGTGATGACGAATTTGTGATGCTGAATTTGCGATGCTTTGTGATGACGAATTTGTGATGCTGAATTTGCGATGCTTTGTGATGACGAATTTGTGATGCCGAATTTGTGATGCTTTGTGATGCTTTGTGATGACGAATTTGTGATGCTGAATTTGCGATGCTTTGTGATGCCGACTTTGTAAGGTTTTGTGATGTTGGATTTGGCAACTTACGGGTTGGCACCATTCTTGCTATTTCATCGACCTCGTTTGCTCACTGCAGATGGTGACTAGCGTTTGAAATAGAACTTCCTTGCCCTTCTGGATACATTTCTCAATTATATAATTTATGATAGCTAATGTCAATACAAATATCAGACATGTACGAATACTTTGTTCCGATTATGTTTGCTGGGGAGTGAAATGACTCGTTGTTCTAATGCGTGTTCCATTTTCGCTCAAGAATCAATGGGTCTGATCCTCATATTTCGGCAAAATAGAAGTCTTAATTCATCGAGTACTAGCAAATTATTGTGCTAATTAGGGTCTTTTTTGTATAGATAGATTTGGGCAGACTAGCACTGTAAGAAAAGATGTAAATTATGTTGATTTCGGTGGCAGCTAGTGGCTTGTGTTTTATGGACGTCAAAGTTATCTATATACATGCCTTAATTTCTTTTTCCTGGGTGAATTTTTCATGGATATTTTTATTGATATCATGTTTGTTCACTTCCAGGAGTTGTAGTTTCAGAGCTAAGCTCTATGCGTGCACTGATTCCTGATGAATGAACACCACATTTTCCATGATTTTCATGTCCATCTTATACATGATATTGCTGTATTGTACGCAGGATAATTTTCTGGTCATTATTTTTGGAAAAAATCCTCGTCCAATCGTCCGGCAAATACATTATATTTTTAAGAACATAATTTGTTTGCAAGGGAAGTAACTCGTCAAATATGATTTTTTATTATTCCCCTTGAAAGACGAAAATATTTTAATTACCGTATTTGACAGCATATAAGGTGCACTTTTTAAATAAAAATATCTTTTAAAATTCACTTGTGACCTATATGCCATATGTAGGTTTACTAATTTTGCTCATTGCTAATTTATCCTTGATTTGCCCTGCTGAAATTGGGGTGTGTCTTATACGTCCGTGCCTCTTGCCCTTAAATACGGTAATTTCCTTTTTGAGGAGGAGCCTGCAGACGATACATAGGTACACACATATGGAAATATCTTGAATTTATTGGAATCAGTCAGAGAAATGTACGTACACCTGTAAATGATAATCAAGCAACTGAGTAGGCAAGTGATTGGCTTAAGGTCAAAGGATATGATGAAATTTGGTTAAAAATATGATCCCCAAAAGAATTAAAAACCACAATTGAACCACAATTAAATTTTTTTGAGAAAATATGAACAAAAAGGAAACTAATATTTAACATCAGGAAGAGACAGCTGAAACCACATAAAGTAGGCTTGGAAAATATAAAACTCTCGTGGTAGATTAAAGACAAGAGCATCAGATTAAAACAACGCATAACGAAATTTGTCAGCCTTAGTAACTGGAGAGCATAACAGGGTGTAGGAGAAATAAAAGAAAAGAAAAAAATATTAAAAGCTACAAAGGACAGAAAATTGTGGAGAGCCATGATCGCATACGTCTTGAAGGGACACAGAACATAGAAGAAAAATGGATTTGAGTAAATGGATGACGGAACAAAGTTTAAGAGAGCTAGCAAAAAGACACGATTTACTAAGAGCTACGAAGGAGAGGAAATCATGGTGAGCCATGGTCGCTAACGTCCTGAAGGGACATGGTGCATATATGAAGAATGAACTTAAAAACTGAATGACCATACAAGGTTTAGGATAAATAACAAAAAAAAACAAAATTTATTAGGTGCTAGGAAGGACAGGAAATCGTGGAGAGCCATCATCGCATACGTCCTGAAGGGACACGGCTCATAGATAAAGAAAGTAGTTTGAATAAATGAATGACAGAACAAGGTTTAGGGAAAATAACAAAAAAGATAAAATTTATTAAGAGCTACGAAGGACAGGAAATCGTGGAGAGACATGACCTCCAACGTCCTGAAGGGGCACAAAAGAAAAATATTCTATTTAATCCCTAAAAGAACGTAATACGATATGTCTCCAAGGGAGACAACAAAGAGAATTTGTGTACGAGTTATTTCCCTTGAGTCATATATTGTTGCTTCTATATTTTCAGTTACTGGTCAATGGATAATAGACATTTTTAGGGGTGTTTTTTCCTTGTTATAGGAGAGTGTTTTTTGTAGTCAGTTTTCCAGTCTCCTTTCCGTCATCTCTTCTTTAACAGAGACGAGGCAATTCAGCTATTAATACTTTTATAATAGTAGATTCATAACGTAAGCAAACCAAAATGAACCGTATTGAAAGTTTCAAGCAAGGATCTATTTTCTGTTTTTAAGGAATGCACATGCTTTTCACCCAGGTTATTTTCACGATAGTTTCATATCTACTCGGTATGATACCTGAAAGCTGGATAGGCAGGGGAGGGCCTGTTTCATGGCTGCAGTTTTACCCCAACCTCAATCCTGTGGAATTTTATATGTGAAGCTACCTAAAACAATTGATTTAGGCAGCACACATTAATATTGAAAGGGTTCGCCAGTTAATGACCCCACGGGTGCATGCGGGTGTAGAAGCAAGCGATTGATATTTTGAACATTTGTTATGAGGTGTTGTGTTGAGATACACCGATAGAGAGTTGGACATGTCTGTATATGGACATTTTTACCTTGTTTTAGTGTCAGAAATCCGCGCCCAAATTTGTAAAATTATTTTTCGATGTCATCTTGGTTTGTATATTTAACAGCGTCTTTAAACTTAACTACAAACTAACGATTTGCGGAGATAGGTTTATATGAAATTTTGTCCTTCTTCTGATGTAAGAAAACCGCCTGGAAGTTTGTAAAATAATTTTTGAGACACACATACACACTATATATATATATATATATATATATATATATATATATATATATATATATATATATGGGAGGTATCAAAAATTTCCTCACACCAAGAGCATGACAATATTTCATATATATATATATATATATATATATATATATATATATATATATACAAATTTAAAAAAAAAAAAGACCACTTTAAGGTACCATTATAATCATTTATTTCACCAGAGTCCTTTTAAAGGACGCCGGATCATCAGATAGCACTTCCATAAATGAAATGAAACGAAAAAAGAAATTAAAATTGATGGGTAGTGTAAGTTTTTGTAATTTAACAGAGAGTGTAAAAGGAGTAGTTAAAGAGATATGGTAGAGTATAGGGAGGGATTAATTTCATATTACTCTCAATCATACTTAGTATTGAGGGAGGAGGAGTGACCAGACCTTGACCTATTTAGACGGTTAACTTAACGGATATTGAAATGGGAGGGGAGAAGGGAGAAAAGAAAAAGGAAAAAGAAAGAAGAGGCTGTAATTGGATTTTTAATAAAACATAGTTTGAAGGGATGTTCTATTTATGGGTTAAATTGCTAAATATCACGGATAGAGCATATATAAATTGAAGTCAACACCCACAGGCGAATATCCACTGATATATATATATATATATATATATATATATATATATATATATATATATATATATATATGCGTGTGTGTGTGTATGAACAATAGCGGCATTGTGCTAATGTCGAATGTCCTCCGACTAAAATGAATATGCATAAACAAGGTAATTTTCTTTCTTCCTCCAATAAGGATACTGAGTTGGTAATTGCAAGAGGATACTTTTAGAAATAAGTAGACAAAAGTTGTCTAAATTATTTAATCAGACATCTCTTAATAAATATATGTATATATATATATATTTTGAACGGTTTATTAGCTTTTTTATAATTGCTATTTTATAAGAATTTGGACATTCACTCTTATAATTAAGAGTACAGGAATTTATGCTGCTATTTTGTATATGAGGAAATAGTGTATTTATTATTATTAATGTTTAACAATAAATCTAGAAAAGGAATTTATTACTATTATTAAGTTCGTATGTAAGTTTAAGGACGGAATTATTTTGGAATTATTTTTGAAGTTGATGTATTTCTTCCATATTCTTGACTAATATTAGGATATCATCGACGTATCGTAGATAGATGGAGTTTTTATTTTTTTAATTTTTAAAGATGTTATATTCAAGATTAGACAGAAAAAAACTCCAGTTGCATAAGGTGTTTTTTAATTTTTTACAAGCTTTCGTTTGTTCCTACAGACATTCTCAGTTCTGGAAATAGATTTGGTCTTTGTTTTTACTTCTCGGTAATAAGAGTACAACAAAAAAATATATGTGTGATCCGAAAAAATGCTATGAGAAATGTGTTATTGTTTTGGAACGTGCGGTCGCAACGCTGAGTTTGAATTTAAATTTTAAGGTTGTGCGTTTTTGTACAAATATAGTAATAAGAGAATTCTTTTTTACTGGTAGGTTTTCCGTCAATGTGGCATGAACTATATTGTTCAATAATTACAGTAATGTCACATATATTATCATTCATACAAAAAAACTGGAATTTATAAACAGGGATCATATTCATATACAGGTTCGGGGTTGGTGTATCTTGTTGATATTGTTTGCGAAGATGTATTCTCGCCATTTAAATCAGTAACCTCTATATTTGTTTTTTTGTATGAATGTTTATTGTAATTATAAATTAAAATTGCACTTATAATTGAAATTAAATATATATATATATATATATATATATATATATATATATATATATATATATATTGTTTGAATTAAAACAGACCACGTTAAGATTCCATGTAATAAGCTTTTTCACCATAACCCCTTTAACAGGGTTCTGGATCATCAGACTTACTTCCAAAAGCTGAAATGAAAAATGAAAAGAAATTCACACGTTTTTTACGGACCTCATCAAGTATACGTAAAGTTAACGAAGTGAGGAAGTGAGGTGGAAGAGCGGATATGAGTGTGTCATATGTATCATTTTAGTTTCCTATTTTAACCCCAGTGTGTCGGCTAGATGTTGCTCAAATTTAACGCGTCTCGTCTCTAGATATAGATGGCTAAGGGGTGAATGATAAGAACGACATTAAAGGAAGAAGTTACAACAACCCCA